CAAATTAACTTCTAGGTAGCTAAACGCCATTTAAGGCCATAATATAGGTTTTAAATATTCTTTTTTACTGTATTTCTTGAATGGTGCCAAGGAGTGTAGGGGTGGCCTTTACAGGTCCTGCATTTAACTTTTCCTAGCAAAGAAAGATGTATGTCATGCTTTCCACATTGTAAATTTTGTAACCTGCAAGTCTAAAATTATAATAATAAATGATAGTGCGATAGCCATTTGCTCCTTCAAAAAAAAAAAATAAAAAAATAAAATATAATCTATATTATATATGCTTTATTATTATTATAAAAGAAAATTTAATTTATAATATGATTTCAAATTAAATATAATTTTTAATTATTTTTATTTTTTTTTGAAAAAACAAATAATTCTTACACCATGATTTTTAATTATTTACTATAAGTTATTTAGTAATTCTAATATAATATAGTTTTTAAAAAATATTTAAATTTAATTTCATTATATATATAATCTATACTATATTGAAAGTTATTAGTATTAGACTAACAAAACTAGAAAATAGAAAAAATAATAGAAAAATTTATTACTTTTTTTAAAAATATATACTAGTTTAATTCAAGTTCAATATTAAAGAAAATAAATTATTAGAAATATTATTGAAAACAGATTTTTTAAAAACAAATTATTTATTAATTAATATATCTGACATTTCAAATTTAAAACTTCTTTATAAATTACATAATCAATTATTTAATAAAGATATTATAATATTTTTATAAAAGTAATAGAAACTATTTTTAAATAATCAAAAATACAAATATATAATATATATCTATATATATATATAGTATATATAAAACATACAAAAATATAATATAATTATATTTATTTAAACTTGTTTTTTAATAGTTTAGATTTTGAATAAAAGCTTGATTATTTTTGATTTGAAGTTTTTTTAGAATATTAAATCAAAAATAGATTAACTCTAGTAAAAAAGTTATGTATTTTATAAAACTTGATACTTATCTCAAATTAGATATATTTATTTTAATAAAGTTTTTTTTAATTTCAAAGTTTTAAAATAATGTTATTGTGGTAATAGCATTATTTAATTCTCTTATCCAATGTACTTGCTTTCTTTAAACATTAATTCAGGTAGCGTGACTTCTAAATTACGGAGTGGGAAGCATCCTAGCCAAAACTCATTCTATAAAAGGGCTTTAGAGGCATGCGCAAACCAATTTGGTTTATGTAGGTTAAGCAAAATGTGGTATGTGAAATGAGGCTTTTCTGAGTCTCGGCTGGACTACATGTGCACATGAACTTTCCGGAAAAAGAAACAAATACATGCCATATACTAGTTTTTTTTTGCATTATCCAAGTTACGTAGGCACGTACAGATAAAATTTAAGATCACATAAAATGTAACCTGAAGAAATTTTATCTTGTAATTTAAATTTGATCTTACAGTAAAGTCATGGAAACTCAACAGCATTCTTTAAGGGCTCCATTATGTTTTTGTAAGAAATTAGCCTCTGCTGCGTTCTCTGACGAGTTCGGTTTATTTTATGAATGCCATTTCCTTCACCCGAATCCATGGCAGGAAGCTGCCGATAGTGCGAAATCTGCCAAAACCGAAAAAGTGTGCATACTAAAATTTCTGTTAAAATACCTGCGATTTGTCTCTGCTAAAATATTTAGTTTATTAGTCATCGATCAAAAATTGACTAATATTTAATATTTAATAGGATAGTGAAGACGAGCCTTCAACGAGCCGTGCGATTTCGCGATGCAACGATGGCAAATCGATTTGCGGATTTCATATCCACAAAGATGTTTGGGATTGTATATGGAATGATAAAAACTATGATCCTGAAGAATTGAACGTTTGCCCATACTTTAATTTTACCTATTGTGCAATGTTCAATAAACGTAACGATTTTGAGATTTCCTACCCACAACGACCGATATGTTTTTGCGGCATCCCAGTGGTAGCGCGGTTTATACATAATAATTTAATATTCGAGTGTAAAAACTATGTTATGGACGGACATCAGCCAAAATGTACTTGGCATCTACCTGCGATTGAAGTACCATTCGAGAAATCTAGAAGGTATACTCATCCGGTAAAAGAACAATTCACTGAGGGATTATTAGAACGAAAACCAGACGAATCCAGGGAAATCACGGTCAAACATAAGATAGGTTCCGATATTGAATCAACGAAGTCATCCCAGGATAATAATTCCGATCAGAAAGACGAGTCTCGAAACATTATATCAAATCGACCTAGACTTCAGGAAGGATCAATGATCAATGATCGTCTTAGACGGTCTTCACGATACAGTGAAAAGTTTGATGAGTCACACGGTTGGCATCATCCGTTAAAGCAACAGCGAGGGAACTACTCAAACGTGAATGTTAAACCCTATAGTCAACCACGCGGGCACTGGCGTAATTCACCAAAAATACAAGATTTTGATTCTGATCGAAACCGTCGAGGGAATCAACAATATAATGACGCATCTAAAACCGATAATAGGTATCAAACTCTCAGGCCACATATCCCTAGTGAATTTAAAGAAAATCCCAGCTATACAAGAAAATATACCGCCTCTCGAAACAGAACATTGGAATCGAAGGCATCTGGATATGAAGCTAGGAAACGTACAGATGAGAGTTGGCATTCTGCTGTACCTAATGCTGCTAGGCTAAATTATAACAGTAATAGATCAGATACTCTATCAGAAAGTGCACCTCAGTTGAATTCTAATAATGAAACAGAAAGTGAAATATATAAAAAGGATGTAGAAGATGTCGAAATTACAGATTTTGATGGCTCCTGTGCTTTGGAGGATGACGCTATTCCTAGAAATTCGAATTCTGGCAACAATGCCGTTAATAACCCCATAGAAAATTCTATTAGTGAGAATGATACAATCGTTGGACCTAGTCCCTCGACTATACCAACGGGTGTTAAGCAAATCAATTCGTCTACTTTTCATTCCTCCGTTGAAAATAATAATTTGACTGATGTAAACTTCTTTCGAGGTGATTTCAAACCGGATCTTGGAATTAATTCCACAGAAACCGAAGATACTCGATCGAATATGCCTTGTTTAAAAGATGAAACCTTTGAAACTATGTCCATGAGCTCTCGCGTTACAAATGAGAATGGAGTGGTTAACTTAAAGACCGATGACACACAGTTTATTAATGAAGCTTTTGAGGATGAAAGTATTCATGGAGATTGTCACAGTGAAATTCATGGCACCTCCGATCCCAAGGACTTTGGCAAAAAAGGTTTTCCAATTAACGATATTAAAGAATCTAATGGAGCAAATAGTTTGGTGTATAGGGCTGAACATTTGCATAATGAAAATTTAGATAATTCCGATAAGATCACGGCGGATATTAATGACAACCAATTAAGCGATTTATTTAAATTATTTTCTGTTCAAAATGATGATGCAGATGGTTCAAGTTCTCCGCCTCACCTCAGGTTAGACGAGTCAATGACCGATGATAATGTGACTAATGCATCTGGTAGTGGGTCCCAGGAGGACGACAAAGTTCAAGCATTTGAAACAACTATTGACGGTGGTACTATCGCGGATGATTCGAATGATCCTATGAGAGCTACAAGTGAGAATAATGAATTAAATTTTGTTGAACGTGATAATGGGAACAACTCTGATATTTTAGACGAAGTCTCTTCGAATCGATCTCATCACTCGAAATCAGATTTGACCCTGGGCTCAGTGGATGAGTACAGCAATGCGAATAACGAAATCAATAAGCACCCGGATGATGATGATACGGTCGAAGGTCAGGTGAAGGTAGATGGAGTGTCTTCGGTTATTCATGATAACACATTTCTTAACTTCGGGATTGAGCGTCCTATTGCAAACAAAGTGTTGGGTAATAAGTCCCGAGAAAATGATACTGATTTAAGTTCAGAGTCAGTTGCTCTTGAAATTATCAACGTTTCGAATGAGAATAATGATACTACTGTTTTGTCAAATAATGAGAATTGTCCTGGACACGTTGCACAAAATAATAAGGAACCACTGGATACCACCGAGATACTTATTGTTAAACAAGATGAGGATGGTGCGAGTTCTCAAGGTGATTCGTCTTTATATAACCCTGGTATGGAGGATGGAACAAAAATTCTGGGCATTCCCAAACTTTTTAATGAATTTTCCAATCGTTCAGAGTCTCATCCGAGTGGCGAATTTAACCAGTCGTATAATGCGTGTAACATTGACGATTCCACTCAATCGCAACACAATGTGAATAATGATAACGGAGAAAAGTCGAATGTTCACCAATTCCAAAATGTCTTCAAAATGCCACTTACGCAAAATTTCTGTATTTCGATTACAAGTGGCGTCTCTCAAAATACCCAGACTTATCTAACCATTCATGAACATTGTAGAGGCAATGAATTTGCACATATGTTACAAGAGGTTGAGAAACTCCGAGAGAAAGTTGCACTTTCAGAAGCACATAACAAGAGACTCAAAGAGGAGAACGAAGAGTTTCAATTGAACTGTAAGAAACTTGCTGACGAGAAATTTCATGCGCTATCTAACGAATATGAGAAGGTCCGCCTACGTTGTGAGAAGTTGACTAGTGAAAAGGATGAGATTCTTTCTCAGTTTAATATGTTAGCAGATGCCAACGAAGAATGTAATAAAAAGAATAAAAGACTTTCCGATGAAAATTCAGAGTTACTTGCAAAGAATAGTAGATTGACTCACGAGGTTGAGAGACTATCGGAAAAAGTCGATAGCATTCACACGTTTAATGATACCGTTTCTGCAAAAAATGGTGAACATTCATCAAGCAAAGATATGAAAAATACATTAAGAAATAAATCTGATAATGGTGAATTTGAATTGGAAAATTCAAAAGGCGATTATGAATTTTTATTAACAAAATATGAAAAAGCGGTCGAAACCATAGATGATTTACGCCATCGAAACCAGGAGAACAAGCATCAATACGAAGAGACCAGGCGCCAATACGAAGAGATCAAGCGCCAATACGAAGAGATCAAGCATCATTACGGAGAGATCAAGCACGAATACGAACACACCTCTTATCTTAATGTAACGTTGGTTAAGAGAATTGAAAAGTGTTCTGAATTATCTAGTGAAAACGAAAGATGTCGTAAAAAATTGGCGGAAATGCGATCCGCTCACGAGAGTCTTGAGGTTGAACTTGCCAAAAAAAATCGAGAACTTAACGAATGCATCGAGAAAAATCGCAATAGTCAAACAATACTCAAGAATAACAACGATGTTTTACGCAACGAACTTGACATGTTACGTTCGCAAATGAAATCAGAGCACCATGAGAATTTAACCAAGGAAAATAACATTCTTCGCGATGAAAATCGAAAATTAAAAGCCGATCTCAAGGATGAAATAAATCGTCTGCTCGGCAGCATTGCATCTTGTGAATCTGAAAAAGAAAAAGAAACAAGTATGAGGCGATCTTGCCAAAAGAAGGTTATGGAACTCCAAACAGTGGAGGCAAATCTTCAAGACGAAATTGATAACCTGAAACAGGCAATGAAACAGAGATATGAGGAGAATTCAGCGACCTTTAATAGATGCAAAGTGTGCTTCACTGGATCTATCACGCACGCCATAGTTCCATGTCATCATGCAGCGCTTTGTGAGAAATGTGCCTCTGATGTTGATAGATGTGTAGTTTGTCGTGGAGAAAAAAAATCTACAATTCGTGTCTATATTCAATAGAATACTGATAATTGTTGACTGGCAGTGGGAAATGATATTCAATTCTTAACCACGGTAGTACTTATAATTTCAATATCCAGCTTAACTTTATAATTGAATCAGATTTTTTCAATGAGAAAAAAAAAAGACATTCTTTTTTAACTATTCAAAATGTAAATAACAATTCGGAATTTTGGTAGCATTTATAATAATAATTCAGAACAATGTTTGAGTGATTTGTAAATAAACCAACGTAAATGATTTCGCATTTTTTTTAACTTTTTTTCGAAGAGCAAGTTACACAATTTGTAATTGTTTATTTTTCTGTTAGGAAGAATAGGTAAAATATGCTAATATCCATAAGATAGCTGTTTTAATGAGATATTAAACAGCATGTAGATGTCAAAAACGACTTTTTTAAAAAGATCAACACATAGCAACAGCACCGGCTGCAGTTAAAGTAGATAGACCTAGTACTGCGTATCCTGTAGCATATACACCTTTCAGCGACAGGGCGCCTCCGAGATCCCATACCTTTGGAAGATTTGCGTGATGGAATATTTTTGAGTGGGAAATATGAAGGCAAACATAATGTAGGATGTATTGATAATCGACTTACCAAATGCCTAATGCCATTAAAAGCATGAAAAGTGAAGGGCCAAGCCAAAAGGAATTTTCCGGTAAGTTTAACTGAAGGTGGAAGGGTGGCCACGATGGCGGTAAGTGATTGTGAGTTAAAATCCAATCCCAATGGACTATTAAGAGCATAGGCAATAGCAGCGCCATAGAAAACTTTATAGGAGGAAATGTTATAAGTGATGGACCTATGATATTTTTCGGCATACACAGTTCTTCAATGACGACGCTTACCAGTAGCCAGGCCTGCACCAGTAATTCTATGGGTTATGGACATATACCAAGTTAACTGTGGTTGATAAATGGATAGATGAGGTGACATGGGCCGAACAGCTCGTTGGGCATTGAGGATTTTCTGGTGCTCGGAAGCGGTGTCTTGAGCGGGTGCAGTCGAGGAAAATTGCCTAAAATTTTTCCTATAGAATATATTATTATTAAATGATATGTAGGAACTGGATTTTCGTAATTTCTCAATTGAAACTTTAGGTGATGGTTCGAGGAAATGCTGGGCATGTAAGTATTCACCTCATTACGAATTGTAGAACACCAGTATTTTTTGCTACGGACGCCCTCAAGAGTGAGTCTGTGCATTCCTATTTATTAACTCTATATCTTAAGCGAAAAGAATCGATCAACACACGTAACGTAATAATTTCACGTACTATGACTTCCAACTCTCATAGCCTGAGACATGATGGTAGAGTTCATCTTGCGAAAAAAGAATCAGGAAGAATCGTGGGTTTTTCTACGTGGTTTGATCTACCATCTATTTATCCAATTAGGGGAATTGACATGCCTTATTGGTTATATATGAAAGAATGGGAGATCTGATGTATTATTGCGCGTTGTCCAGTTAAACTAACGACATAATTTACAAAGAATAACAGTCCTGAAGATTTCTTTTGATTCAAGAAAACATAAAAAGATTTTTATCACCACTAAGCATTTTATTTATCCTATTTGTTCCTACAATTCTCTCTAATCGAAGTTGATCAAATTTTGAAAATAGTACGTGACATGATAACTTGGATTCTTCAGTCTCACCTTTCGAAGAAATTAAAAAGTTGACTATCTCGGGATAGTATTGGGGATGATCAGGTAAGGAGTAGAAGACGACATGATGTGTTCCACGAATATTGAACCTCCTGAAAAAATGAATGCGTTCTGTATATAGTAACACATTTATCCTTCCATTGAAAAAATGAGCACGCGCTCTAGTTACATCAGAAACGGATGTATATCTACCAAGGAAATAAATTAGAATTTATGTAAGTCGCCAAAACTAATCGATTGTTATTGAAAATAAATGGGACTTACTCGCATACGCTAGCAAAGGAATAATCGTTATCTTTGAAATAATTTCTAAGCCTAACAAAGTCAAAGTATGATGGGATGAAGATCATCGTGTGCAATAATTCCGAATTGGATTTCTTAAGCAATGGTAGGGTCTAAAATCAATCAGGAAATTTTTAATGTGATATTGGAACAATCGTAATTACGAGGAGATTTAAATTATGGTCCTACCTTTTCGGTAAAATATTTGAACCGAATGTCATCCGCTTCAGGCAATGACGGGCACTCAATCCGTATAAAAATCTGGTGGGAATAAAACGTCATTTACGAGTCCGACGAAAGTGTAACCATTAGTAAAGTTGAAAATACCTGCTTGATCTCCGGTATTACTTCTGTGATGGAACCTTCATAATCCATTTTGATTTTTAATTTTCCAGCGATATTCATCATTTGCTTATTAAAGATTGCATTTATTTCCGGAGTAAGGTATTCGGAGATAATTATGTTTTGACGGAAATATTTTGCTCTGAAAAATAAATTCTAGAGGGCATGAAATAAACGGAATAGGAAAAAAAAATAAAAAAAAACTTTTTTTTTAAAGAATTTCGAGTGATGAATACGCGAAAATCTCACCTTCCGTCAAGGTACCAATTTTTAACACGGGAAAAGTCACAGTCATGCGAGCTTTTTGGAATTATGTTCAAATGATTTAAAATATGCTATATGAAATCAGGGTTAATTAGATTTGCGTGTTACCATAGAGCATTTCTATGTATACTTGTTGTTATGATATACCTCGAGATGATCCCAATTTTGCATGAGAAAGGTATCACTTTGGTCGACTATAAGTAGTTCGATCGAAGAAAGGAAATCGAAATCGCGTTTCTTGTCCCTAGGATTCAAATCAAATTAGATTTATGAATAATGAATGTGCAGAATTTTTTACGAATCTAGAGATCGAACTTACCCGTCTGTTCCGATTATCATTCGTAATCCCAATGGGGAAGCAATAATAATGTCTGCATTATAGAACTCGGCGTATAATTTCATCGATCTTCGGGTAAACTTTATCCCAATCCGAAACATATCATCAATATTTCCCCTGAAGGTCTCCAGAAAATCGGCTATAATACATAAAATTAAGCGTTAGGATTAAACCCCAAAAGTAGTCAAATTGGTTTGGTCATCCATTTACCTGGTTTATTGAGGTCAATTTTTTCCTGTTCGGGCAATATACCATATGAATCGAAGAAACGTCTTCGATTTTCCTTGGAGATAAAATTAAAGGTTTACAAAAAACGAATTACACATTGGTGTACTGTTATTACGTTTCTTAACTACCTGTTGTTCTGTTCCAGATAAGTTTATCAAGGTTTCAACCAAATCTAACGCAGAATTCCGAAAAGGCAGCAGAATTAACACCTTAGGCCGCGTGAAGCCTTGATCGCGCAATTCCCTAGGATATGAAATTATCGGTTAAAGTTATGGGCGTTTCGTAAAATAGATTAGGTTCAAAAAAAAAAAAAAAAAGAAGCTTACTCGATATCTTTACCAGTAGAATGAGCACGAGTGATTTTTGTGTTGTTTTTTAACACGCGATGCCTTGTTCTGAAATGGGATAATTTTGTGTTTAATTAAGGTCTGTAATAACTGAGATAACAAGATATAAAGAAATTTGAATTTTTACTTAAATACATGATTCAAGGCATGCAAAGCATAGACGCGTCTTATTTCCCGCGAATTTTCCAAAGATCGGTTTGAAAATAAGACATCACGGTATTTATTAAAATGATGAAAAAGGCGAGATTGCAATTCCGAAAAAACTTCAGTTCTATTTTCTTATTAAAATTGATAGATCATAAGTGACATTCTCCGCATTCCATATTATTGTAAGGGTCGAAAGTTTACCATGCAACCTTTTCCAAGATTCAACCAGTTTTTCCTTAATCTGCAAAATAATCAACGATTAATGGGTCATTGAAATATAAAATCACATCAAATCGAAGGTGACATTTACTTTGAAATGGTCAAAATTAGACCCATTTTCCTCTTTACTTTCACTCGTCTCCAGAGATTCTTCATTTAAAAAATATTTCGTGACTGATTTCAAAACCGAATCCTCAAACTTTGAAATTTTCCATCTCCTTTCGTCCACATCCGTTATTCTTGTGACGATTTCGTTTGATTGATCGTCTCCGAAGTGAATGTCATATTCGTCAGCACCACCTTTAACAATTACAATCGTCACAATCATCCGATTGGAATAGACAACATAAAACTATTTAACCGAATAAAGTAAAACATACCTTCATTATCTTCCGCATCATGATTTTTCAGCAATTCGTCATCATCGGATTCTTCGGTTTGCAAATTATCATCGTCTAACCTCGCATCGCCCACATCTTCGTGTAAGCTCTCAAAGGAATCATCGTTGGCTTTCATTACTGCCACATATTCCATCCCTTCTTCCTCGAACTTTCGTCGTTTGAAAAATTCTTGATTCTCGGAATCCTTCTGTAGTAATTCGATAAGTTTGTTATAAGGCCTTTTTCTTATTTTTAATTCTTCTCCCACTTCATCATCAATAATAATTTCATCGTCATCATCGTCTTTCTCTTCAGCTTGTTGTCTCCATTCTTCTTCCAACTGTGATTCGGTAACTTTACGATACAACCTGATATGTTTTCATGATCACAATTTCCGTTAGTGCATTCACTCGTATCATCGTCAAACACCCTTCTATTCGGATAAAATATACTTTTTTGAGGATTCACCCTTTTCTCCTTCGTCCAAGCTGTCTTCTAAGCTATCATATGGATTTAAACTTCCATATTGTTCCAAGGCTTCTTTTTCTTTTCTTGACTTCCCAAATATGTTTCCTTGTTTCCTGTCGTTGCGTACTTTCCCTCGACGTGGGTATCCTTTAGCCCGATATTTCCCTTTTGGCATATTCAACAGTCATCTACAAGAATTTTAGTTGGTTGCATCATTGATAAAAATTATCCGCGTGATGATGATGCGTAAAATCTATCCAATAAGATACCTTGTTGAAAGCATATCATGTGGTAACTGGTTTTTTAATTAAATTCGCGCGTTTTTTTATTTATATAAACAAATGTTTCTTTTTTTTTCTTAACTTCTTATAATTTCCAATCCACCCTCATCTCTTAGTTTGATTATATTATCCGGAGCTTCTGATTCGTGTTATCATACTTTTTTTTGCTTATTCATAAAAAAAAAAAAAAAACACGCGTGCATAAAACATCTGTAAAGTACCTGGAGCCTTCGAGATTTCAAAACGCCGAAATGGTTATTACCGATGAACGGCAGGAAAACGCGTCCAAAAAAACTTTATATTCGGACGAAAAGCGCGATATAAATGAGTACAGCTCAGAAGGATTAAAAAATTGGTCGGGAAATGAAAATAAGGCCAAGCAACATTCCGAACACACTTTCGCGCTGAATAGCGACATGCCAAAATTAATGGATGTGACAATCACCGCCATGGTACAGTCCACTTTGGATGATATTATTGATCAAGCGATGTGCGAAGAATCGCGTTCTCAACAAGAGGTCGGTTCGTGTAGCATCGTGGGAGAAGCCTACGATCATCACATGGAAGAGTACAAGTATGCGCCAGACAAAGCGTCAAAAATGACATTCGAAGAAAACAATCAAGTATCAAAACTCATGCAGAATCGAAACATGATGATGTCGGAAGGAGAACCTCTACTAAGGGGGAATGAAGTTCCGGACGAGTTACATGGAGATACGTGCCAAAGCACAAAGGATGATCACACCAGTGTCAAATTAATGGAAGCGGGAGCCGACGTTCTGCACTCAAATGGACTTAATCTGCTTGCCGAGGTCGCTTTGGCGGATGCTGAAATTAATGCGTCAACTGTTGACTATCAAGGGTCCCTTAATTCGAACGAACAGGCCTCCGAATATGATATCTATGACGAGTACGAGGTGTTAAAATGCGGAGAGGAGGAGGGAGATTCAAGAGATTCTCCCTGCATTGAAAATCAGGGTCAAAAATCTTTTCACGAATTTAATTATTGTGGCGCATGCATGGAAAAAGAAACGGTAGTTATTGAAGATTATTCAAGTGATTTTCTGTCCAACTCATATCTCCAGGTTGCAACAGATCAACTTTTACGATTCGATTTGTTTCCCAAAGTTAAATCGTATATCACTTTCCTAATCAGAAGCGTTCTTTTGTGGATATTTATTAAGGAAGTGACAACGATCAACTCAATATTTCTTATGCCCTCTTCGAAGCAGACTGAAATCAATAATACTAAAATGACAAGCCTCGGAATAGATTCAAATAAAGAATTAGACAACATGGGTGAATTAAATGAAACAATTGAATCGGAAGAATCGTTTGATAGTAAAGTGGCCTTGACAGTTGACACATCATCCTCAAAAAAAGCAGTTGATATGGATTATGAACCGACAGTCAATGATTCTGCGCGATTGGATGACTCCGAAAGACGCGCGTCAGATACGGATGAAGTTATCCCAGAGAATGTATCTCAGGACAATCGAGATATTGATTTTACGCCTGAAGAGGAAGAATTACAAGAACCCTTTAGGGAAAATACAGAGAATTCCGTCGCAAATGATGAAAACTTTCATAATCTCAAAGGAGAGGATAATATACAGGAATATTCTAGCGATAATACAAAAAACTGTGTATCAAATGACCAAGATATCTTGTGTCTTATTCATCGTCCCGACGAGGAAAATAAATTAAAAGAACCGCACAAGCAAGATTCATTAAAAGGTGAAGATGACGATAGTTTGTGCTCAACAACCACCAAGATACCTCAAGGACGAAGAATCGTTACTCGTAGCATCTCATCGTTGTCGAAGGTTTATTATTAAAAGTTCTTTGATTATTCCTTTTACACGGTATATGATTCAATTTAATCATTATTCTCGTATAATTTAGGGTGCGACCAGTAATATGAGTCTTGAAGAAAAAAAACGATTGTTGACTGAAGTACGTCAAAAGAAGATGACGCTAAAAAGTAGTCTTCTGAAGAGTAATTTGGGAAAGATAACTAAGGAGAACACCGAACGAAACAAAGAATACAGATGTGAACTCAATGTTGTGGTGGTACATAAAGATGAACCTAAACCACCTAGTCCAACTTCGAAAATGCAAGAAAATATGAGAGGCGAAAGGGAAACAACAACATCGCGACTAATCAGAAACAATAAATCAGCGACAACTTCCCATATACCAGTGTTAAAATCACGTGGCGTGCAAAAAGAGAATAATGGAGGGGAAGTAGAAAAATATGTGCGTTGGGATGAGAACCTATTGCAGATTTCTTCACCTCAAGTAAAGTCTTCACCTTCCGAAGCAAAGCAGAAGCCCATACCAAAATCATGCCTAAAGCCCACGGTAAATGACTAATTGCACATTGTTCATTAACAAAATTACTTAACGCTTATTTTATCATCATCATTCGTAAAGAATCCTGCTACAGATTCTCTTGGTAACATTCTTAACGCTAACGAAAGTTTAACCCCTACAGTGAAGAGGGGAGTCAAAGTGACGATAAAACAAATTAAATACCGAGACGAATATTAGTTCTATTTATTACGCGTATATATTTTTTTGGGACGGTTTTACTTTTGCATGTACACAGAAAAATTGTCGGCTAAAGCAAGTCAATTTACCACGATAATGCAGGCCAAAACTGACGGTGACACAATTTTGTAGCATATAAATGATACCTAGTCATTTAGGTAAAAAAAAGTTAACACGTAATTCTTACCTTTTTTCGGTATCTGTACGTAATTTATCTTTGTGGTATTGTGTCATACTTGCGAAAATTTGTGTGGAGAACCTGATCTTGTGGGGTCAATGAGCTCGAATTAAAAACGATGCGGGACTGACTACCAACGAAATCTTGACCATAAACACTCGCAACTCATGCACATGTTAGTGATATATGCGTCTCGTTTCACGCTGACTAACGTAAATTTTATCCTATCTTTTCGCACGCTCGTGAAAAATCAAATCAAAATAATGTCGGTCACGAAATTAGTATTACAAAAATAATTTCCATCAATGAAAAAGGTCAAAGGAAGAAGGATCACGAATTTGTAGTGCCTTCTTTTTCCATTGATCTGATGGTGGTAGGTTAAAGTACTGATTACGAATAAATACAGTATATTAATATGTGGTGACTAGGCCATCAGATTACATGCACCGGAGGTTTTTTTTCCTCACGGTTAAAACCTCAGATCAGATGCCTATGCGAGGAACACCAAGCAACCGGTTTGATTACGCATTTGTAGTCAGCCGCTGCTTTCTTAGATCCTCCCGATGTGATAGGAAATATCTTTTTGGTGGCGTTTTTTTAAATTTAAAATTTATGATCCGCAATACCATATAAACCATGCATCTATAAAACCTAAAAAGACTAAGTTATAAGGCAATAATTATGTTTGCTAGGAAAAAATTTTTTTTGGGCGTATCAGGTCAAATGATGCTATCTCACAAGTCTTGATCGGATAGTGAAAATCTTTCCATTAGTCTTCCGGAGTTAACCCAAGTGTTGGTAAACAAAAAAAAATGTTTTATTAAAAATCACAACAAACATTGTTAGATTTCATATGATTTCGATTTCGAGATTAAATAAATTTTATTTTGGTACTCCATTATTAAAAATTGGTGTTGAGGTAAATAAAGAGGTCGTGCCTCTCTCCTGCAATTTCATGAATTCACGAAGATAAGGATCGTGAACTCAGGGTGATGATTTGAAACGTTTGATAGAGCAGATGGTGCGTTGAACACAATGAATCCATTGTCACAAATCACGATGAATGTTCTAAATTATTTGTCCCAATTTAGTTTCATTGTTCCAGAATCCGCACTATTGTTTATATGGAATTTGATATGCGGCATGAAATCATTTCATTGTTTTAGAAGTTTGTGAGACTTAAAGTCTAAGAGTTTCTAAGGGGTGGGAAGATCAATGTTGTAGCACATATTCCAAAAAAGCTCTTCAAGTGTACAACGTGAGGTTGGCTGGAGATTTTTGGTCCATCTCGAGCTTAGCTGGGGAATCTGTTTTATTTGAGGTTATGAAGAGTTCCATCTTGAGGTGCAAAATGACGCCACATTTCGTAAATCAATAATCACGTGGTTAAAATTAGAGATCGCGAACGTGTTCACGAGATTTACGCGAGAAGACCATGTTTATCCATAGTGAATTTCGAGGAAAATAATTAGACATTCACTTTCAATATCATGAGAATTTTTATCAGAGTAAAGTTTTGTCTATTCGATTTATTTATTTAAAATTTTTTTCTAATATATTTTTTTTGTCAAATATTACAAGTTTTTTTTTGTTTTTTTTTTTTTTTTTTTTTTTTGACGCGAAATTAACATCCCACGAAGAAAAGAAAATATTATTATTATCGACCTATGTACAGATGAAACATTATTTTTTCTTGTGCCTGACAAAAAATTCGTTAAATATTAACCCCAACTATTATTCTCTTGCGGGTTCATCTCTAATTAATGCATAAGAAGAGATTCTCAATATCGTCGCCAACAAATAATGGGTGCATGATACAATTGTGAAAGAAAGTACATATGTACAGAGAAGATTTAAAAATATATATAAAACAAAAATATGTCTAATCTTAAAGGTGTTCGTACAAAGAATTTATGAATAACAATTGATACCCTAATTTTAAAGATTATTGAGTCTAAAAATTCATTAAGATTATTGATATGCCAGTTCAAGTGGATGTGCCGAATTCGCGTGTTCAACTATTCACGGCAAGGCGGCGGCAGAGACCACGGCTCCAGAGAGCATGCTCTTGCGAATAGCTTGACAGGTTTCGGTGCTCGAAGTTTTGTTGCGAGAGAGAAACTTGCGTATATAATTATATTACTTCTTGTTCGTATTCATCTCTTCTACCTTCTAACGCTGCCAGAGCAGCATTTACCCCTCCGCTATTTTGCTTCAAGTGTCCCTTGGCACTAAGCTCCCTCAATGCTTTTTTCGTGGGTGTACTCTTGGCAGAACTTGCTTGTGTATGACTTCTCGACAATCTGTCGTATACACTCCCATCCGTTGGTGTGATTGATCTCGCGTGCGCGTGATGCGCGCTAGAGCCTCTATGCTCGCTCGTTTCACTTGCGTTATCATCAAAGTCTGGCGAACTAGTCTGTCGCATATGAGTAAGTTCCTTGGATCCTTGGCGAATCATGCTATTACGCTTGTCAGCGCTACTGAAATATCCACTGTCGCGTGGACTATCATGAGTGGAGTCACCAATGGATTCCATATTCGAACTGTTATTTCGACTGTGGGTAGGTGTATCACGAAGCGAACTTCGACGTGTCGATGATGATTGCTTTAGTTGGTGAACAGATCTATTAGCGCGTTCGGTTGTTGGTGTACGTGGACTCTCTCCCACATCCTCTTTTTGAGCGCTCGGACCGATGATCGACGGTGGTCGTTTTAACCGTCTGCCGCTTGATCCCGTCCTGCTAAGACTGTTGCTACTTCCAACGCTGTTTCGATTTTCATTCTTGTTTAATTCATCTCGCTTGGCGGATTTGGATGATGCACCCGGAGATGCCGGTTGAGTTTTCATCTCGTTTGCGATCGTGATTTCCGCGGCCACATCTTTCTCCCGCGGTTGAAGGTTCAACCAACCTTCCGGTATTGATGGTCGTGAGCGAATCGCTGAATTCACCTGATTCGTTCCAGATGTTGTGTCCGCAGGGGTGATGTCCATCGGAGACGAATAGTAGGTTGCTGCATCGTTTTCCGCAAAGTAGGAATTACGTCTTGACTCAGCCTGAACAGGGGTTGATACTTTGTTCTGCGCTGTTACCTCTGCCAGCGTGCTTTCGTAGATACGATCGAAGAACGACGACAATTCGTCTTTCGGTGATGCGGGGTTAGAAGATCGACCGGTGACACGTCGTAATTTTTCTTCCAAGTCTCTATTTCTCCTCTCATATTCTGAAGTCGCGAGATCTATCGCCTTGCGCATTGCTAGCAAATTATTTTGTAATTCAGAGATATTTTTCTCCTGATGAGCTAGCGTCACTTGTTTGGACTGCTCGTTGAAGCGAAGTTTAACAATGTCTTTGAATAATGACTCCATGATGACCTGACACTCTATTCCGTCTAGATTCTTCAGAAGGGTGACCGCAAAGTCTAATGGATTATCCGCCAAAGAGTGTTTTCTCTCCTTTCCGGTCTTATGACTTGCACGATGTTTCTCAGTCTGACTCACTTCGTTTTCTGCTTGTTCGGTTGGGTTCCTGGCGACGTCCGCTTGTAACACGCGAATTCTGGCGTTGACATAGGAAATTTCGGAATTAATGTTTTCAATGCTTTCGTCCATAGTCTGAGCTTCGAGACTCTCATTGGTCATTGTGTCACGTGCCATTAGAAGTTCTTGCTTTTCGTTTAGAAGTTTACCACGTCTTTCCAACAGATCTTCCATCATTGCCGATTGCCGACGACTGGAAATATGTCTTTCGATAGCCTCGTCCAGCACCTTCTTCTTATCGACGCCGCTACCGAAGATCTCATCGTAGATATTACTAAAGTCATCAGAGCTACTTCTCGACGGGGATTCTTTCTTGTGACTAACTCTGCGCTTCCCTCGGAACGCCTTGACAATTGCTTTCGACGAAGAAGTTTTCTTGAGCAGAGTCATGACCGACTTAAGTTTCCCGGCATTCTCGAGGGCTTCATGTTGTCTCTTTTCGAGTAAGACCTTCTGCAGCTCGTTGGCCCTCTCGAGACGTTTCACCTGCTCTTGAGCAGACTTGTCCTTGCGCCTCAAATTTTGGAGTTCGAGTTGGTTACGTTCCATCACTTCACGAACACGGTCGGAGTCCTCTTTTATGCGTTTGACCAGGCGCACTTTCTCGGTCTTGAGTTGCTCGATTTGGGCCTTTAAGCTCTTGATTATGGTCTCATTTTGATTCTTGGTGGTGGTGTTTATTTGGGTGGCCTCGTTGTATTTTCTACGGAGATCACCGATTTCCTGGATGAGACGCTTCATCTTGTGCTCATAACGAGCCTTGAGTTCGAGAAGAATGGAGTTCTTGTCGCGAGTGCTAATTCCAGTTCCCGCATTTGCGGCGCGTTTAATGGCGGCGTCACGTTCATGTTGCAAAGCGATCAAGTTCTCTTGCATTTGAGCCAACCTCTGTTCGTATTCGGCGCGCATGTAAGTAAATTCCGCCTCGACTTGCTCTAATTGGGTGACGAGTTGCTCTTTGACGGCGATGTCGGATCGTATTTGGTGCAACATGCGAGAAAAGGCAACGGCATTTTGTTGTGAAGATCCACCGGTGCTATTTTGCGAGGACTTTGTGGAACTAGGAGAAATTTGCTCGGAGAAACTGACCGAACGACTGGAATTTGAACCACGGCGGTTGGAAGATTGAGTAGTCGTCGTCTGATGGTTTGAACCATCCCACTGAGGGACCTCTATGGTCTGAATGTCACTGAAGGACACGCTACTGGACCTTCTCTTTTCATTCTTGGAATTCATGAGATTGGGTAACATTTGATCAATATAGCTTTCGCTCTTGGTCGACGACGGAGTGTTGATCACTTGACTCAGAACAGGATCGTCACTCTTGAGGTTTAACATCTGTCTGATTTGCTCTTTGGCCTTCTCGAGGGAATCCCTGGCACTGTGCCTTCGCAACCTTCGCATGTGTTTTGGTCTATCGCTCTCGGCACCGTCGGTATTTTGATGTGTTTCCTGGTTCTCATCGAGTTCTTCGTCTTCCTCACGAATGTGAGAGAACATGTTTTTGGCTTCTTCCAGATTTTGAGGAAGTTGTCCGGATGGTTGTTCCTCGAGGTTAGCGGACTCCTCAGCTCGTGCCTTTAGCTTCTTGGAACGCTTCTTCTTCTTTTTGCTCTTCTTACTTCCGTCATCACTTTCGTTCTTACGACCCTCATCCTCAGAATTATTATTGTTAAACAAATCATCGAAAAACTTGATGTGACCCTTCTCCTTGCCAGGCGTGGAACCGGCGAACGAGGATTTTCGTGGAGTAGTCAAGGTTTGGACTTGACTTTGAAGATCGACCACTTGGTTCTTGTAATCAAAGATCTGCTGCTCGTAGGACTGTATTATATCATGTGTTTTTAATCGATGAGCGCGTTCCGTCTCCGAAAGATCTTGACTGTTAAATTGGATCTCCATGAGTAGTGTATTCTTCTCTGTGTTGGCCATGATAACCTGTTGCTCGGCGGCTTGAAGTTTCATCTTTGACACGCCTAATTCATTCTTGAGATTCTTAATCTCTTCCTCGTATTTGTGTGTGGCTTCTTCGTCAAGGCCACCAGAGCGTAAAGTTTGAATTTCCAATTTTAGTCGGCTTATCTGACCTCTCAGCTGGTTTATCTCAATTGAGTTTCCTCCGTAACTCTCGTTAACACTAACTTTATTTTTGATGTTACGCGCCCGATTAGCGTATTTCAATGTGTTGAGTGTTTCCATAAAGTTTGAATCGGCAGGAGACACACATGCAAGCATGAGAGTTTGACTAGTGATAGAAAAGAAAGACGGATTAACGTGGCTTCAAGTATAAAAGTGAACTCCTCGGGCGATAGTTACCTGTTGCCCCCAAGCGAGTCTTGTAATAATCTCGTTAACTTCGAATCTCTGTATGGTATATGCGTCACCTTTCGTGACTCATCGCCAAGTGCGCTAATGACATTACCAAGAGCTAATAGACCTCCGTTTATAGCTATTCCTTCTTTGGCACGATCACCAGAGGCGTTTGTTCTCTTGAGCTGTGCGATAGAAAGTTTTGATAAGTAAGTGACTTAGCCGGATGAACTGAATCAAAAGCGAGAAACAAGGAAAACCTATTTATTTACCCTTTCGGAACCTGCCAAATCAACAAAGTGAAACTTTGAAGTGACTTTTGCGGATATCGATTTTGACTTCTTGCTCTTTTTTGATGAATCAGCATCCTGTGGTTCGTTCTCTTTGTTCTCCTCAGAATCCTCAATCTTCGTTTGCCTTAATATTACCGAGAAAATGGCGTGTGAACGAGATGATACAGCATTCATGTCTGTGGCGGCAACAGTTCTGGCCAGCGAACCTTTGGCGAGTTGACTAAAATGGGAGCGAATGAATGAATGATTGTTGATACGATGGTGCGTTTGCATCTGAAATAAATAAACACTAGACATGTAACGTACGCAAAGAGGTCTTCGGGTGAGCTGACTGGCACCTCCTTCACACCGGCCCAATATATATGCCCATTTGAGTCTTCGCGAATCATCAATTCGCTCTTTCCCTTTTTACCATTCTCCCGACTTTGCGGATTTAACAAGTCGAGAAGGTCTTCATTATATAATTCGAGGAAAGAAACCAACACTTCAAATTCATATGCTGAGTTCTTGGCCTTTCGTTCGTTCAAGTCGCTGAACAGCTGATTTATGGCACGTGGAACAATACCTGCGGAGAAAGGATTACGTCAGCAAATTAAACGTCAGAAACAGTGGGTGACGATAATGGAAATTAATGTTACCCATGTGCTCAGGTTTTGCATTTGGATCCAGAGTGGTACCCATAGAAAAAGTTTTACCACTCCCCGTTTGACTATTGATATGCATAAATTAGTTTAAACGTTAGTTGATAGGCTGAAAGACGTTACATGACATATTTTTTTTTAAAATAAATAAATAAAATAATGATTATTTACCCATAGGCTAATATTGTGACATTATAACTATAAAAAAAAAAAAAAAGAACAATAGAGATTAGCCTTTGTCACATATGTGGAGAAAATTATCGAGATAAAACTTTTGATTGTCCGAAATGACGATTACAACTACAATGTCAAATATTTGCAACACGATAGAGTTCACATACCCCTCAATTAACTTGTCCAGAAGTGGTTTCGCACAATCCTGGAATACATCTTGTTGTTCAGTGTCTGAGGGGAACACATAATCGAAGGTGAAGGAACGGTCAGTTCCAATGACAATTTGGGTAGTGTCTGGTATTGTTGACAGACATTCGGTACAATTTTGTTGTATCTCCTTTTTGCTCAAAGGACGTACCCTCAATGCAACTCTAAATGAAGATTTGAAGTAAGTAAGGAAATAAAGGAAAAAGAGGTTGAATGGAAAAACTGAAAAGACGCGCACTTTACGGAAGTTGTGGTCATTTTGATGATTTGTCTTGCTAGAAATTTGACGGTAGGATGTTCGATAAGGAAAAAGAAAACCTTGAAGGCAAAATATAAGACTTGAACAAATGAGTAGACGACAAAGAGATTTGCAAGAAGTTCTCGAGCCGTCATATAAAACTTTGACTTTTTTCTTTTATGTGAAAAATTATTTAGTTTTTTGAAGAATGTGCCCGTTGAAAAGAGAAAATGAAGTAGACACAAAAAATAAGAAAAGAAATTTTGAAATTATTTTATTTTACTTCGCATCTAGGTTTATAGTGTGATAATGTTTCTATTAAAAAAAAAAAAAAAAAGATAGAAAATTTTCTTTCGGTAGAGACCCACAAGAAGGAAGGATTGCAGTATTTATAAAGAGAAAAAAACTGAGGAAAAAGGCAAACTTTTTTTTTTTTTTTTTTTTTTTGTCGTACATTATAAAAAAATGTATAAAAAAAAATTAAAAATATTTTTTTTATATTAATATATATATTGTACACAGTTAAGTCACCCTTACTTCAATGTGACTATACGAAGTTATTGTATATGTTAGAGAGATATAATAAATAAAAAAAAAAAATACAGTATTGAGTTGTATATATTCAAAGTAAAAAAAAATTTTTTCAATAAAGTTAACTGAATATAAGAAATACACGAAAACTTTTCGACATTTTTATATTTTCAAAAAAATCACATTTATCATTCATGCTTTCGCACCTTTAATAATTGTATATAATGAACAAAATTATATAAATAAATAAATTCCTCTCAACGCAAAGACTTTTATCCCTGTATATAGATATACAGTATCTAAAATATGCATTGCAGTTTATAAAATACTTTTGCTTTTCGTTTTTTTTTTATTTCTATTATTATAATCTTAATTGCTATTATTATATTTAATTAAATAAATGAATGGTAATTGGTTTTCCGTTTGAATTTAACTTATCGCAACTTAAACAAAGTATATATTGGTCTATTAGAACCTTCCTTTAATAACTATTGTAAAGTGATTTCTTGAAAAAGCGGTCTCACTTAATGTATTCAAAGGCAGAAATAAAAAAAAAAAATTTTTTTCTTTTATCTTTCAGATGAAAATGATTCATCAAATTCATTTCCGACTAATATCCTATCATCACTATGTATATATCTACAATATATACAGTACACATGTTGAATATTCGTTGAATTGAATGTAGTCTCAATGAAGACGGCGCTTATTATCTAGCACGACGCGCTACATGTTTCTTCTTGTTCATGTTTCTTTTTTTTTTTATCAATTTGAAAAAAAAAAGAAGCAGAGATGGCTATCTCGCATGGCCAATAGAAAACAAAAAGACGCGGAGATGAAAAAAAAAATTTTTTTTTTTGAATTCAGCGACAAGAACAATGATGAAAGACAAATAAATGTCTTGCGATATGTGTGAATGGTCAAGTATGTGAGTCCTTGTCATTTCTAATATGTCATGAGGTTAAAGGAGGTGGTCATCCTGACATTCATCGAATTTTGAACCAACGTTAATAGTAAAATTCAACCAAACAAGCGAACTCGATAGTAAATGCGAATACACATCTACTGATAGATAAATAGATGACATCATCATTCGGTCGGCTAAGGTTGATCCGAGCTTAGCGTTATCTTGTATAATATCGGAATGGATTTTCGGAGTGACAAAGTATATCGGGGGTAATTGAATAGTGCGAACGACGGATGTGCTTAATAATTTGACCACCGTTTTTTTTTTATCTCAACCCCCGGAAGGAAATCAAGTTTATTATTATGATGATGGACAATTAGGGAAACGATTGGCCTTGTCTAGAGAATTCAAATATAACTAAGAACCGGTCCGTAATAATCGTAACTTCGTAATCATTAACCTCGATCCCCCTCATATATCAACATCGATGATGTATATAATTCAATGAAGTCGCAATTAATATTAAACTTATCATTATTATCATAGTATGAAAGGATGCTAGTGATGGTAAAACTGAAACTCCTTGCTAAAATTATCAAAGATGTATGATGTTGCTCTCGGACGTCCGACAACCCCACCAGAAGAGAATTCAGGTATCAAACCGCGACATCAACCAGATTCTGTCTTCACCTCTCCTTATCCAGTCGGTCGATCCGTGGTAAATAAATAGATAATACGAATTCTTTGACACGGCAGAATAGTGCAAAAGTATATTCTATATCCGCACAAGAGAACAAAGTATCTTGTCAATTCAGGTATAGTTGGGTGCACCTCTCCACAAATACCAAAACACAACATACACATACTGTATATGTGCAACATGCATTTCGTTTCCTTTAAGAATCTTTTTTTTTTTTAACGAAAAAAAAAAACTAACTACCCAGCACCTCATCTATTTCTTTCATGGGAACTCTGTATGAACGACTTTTTTTAATCCATTCCCTTGGTATTCTTCCTTAACAAGGAACTTTCATTTTATTCAAGATTTTACCACGACGATCAGGAAAATTTACGATCAGAGGATGGTCACTAACTACTGTGTGTCTAGGTGTTTCCATTGTGAATAATTTAGGTCGATTGACTGATGCATAATCAGTTTCGCTCAGACATCTAGGCGTTTAGCAGTTTAAAACAATCCTTTCTTGGTAATTTTCTTAATGTGGCGGATTACATATAAAAAAAAAAAAAAAGAGAGAGAGAAAAAAAAATAATTAATTAGTTTGATTAAGATGTTTGTTTTAAGAACAATGAGTGATATAACTTCCCATTCTTCTTGTTTCCGTTTACGATCTAATCATACGTTAATTTTCACGTTATAGTTTTTTTTTTTTGCATTATTGTTCATATCTTAAATATACTCTACTTTGATGATGGTCA